GGTTTACGTGGATAGTTCATTGTCTGCCAATCGATGCATCAACCGGAGGAGAATGGTCGAGGCATTTGACCCTGCGTGTGTTTGCGAGAGAGTGAGAAAGAGAGGGTTGACGGCAACCACATGAGGCATGGAAAGCAACTTCCAGAGGCGGGGGACCGCAGCCATGACAGTCTTTCAGGTTTTAGCAGAATTATTGAAAATATAGGGAGACAGCTACAAAACAGTCTTTCTCAAGATTTTAGACAGAGGTGAAAAATACCCTTTGCCCGCATCTCCTCTTCCCTTTAGTAGGGTCATGAGGAATCCTTCAATTTGACAAATGACCAATGGGAATCCTGGGTTTAGGATGGACATGAAAATTTCAGCCAATGAACACTGAGATAAGCCAGATTTCTGGGTCCCAAAAAGCGCAATTGACCCTTTCCTTTGGCTAGCCACCAAAAAGCGCATGGGCTACATACTCTCGCAGCATCCCACTGCCCACTGCCCACTGCCCACTGCAAGGGAAAAACCAAAAATGTTGAGGTTGGTCTCACTAGAAAACTTACTACCTCCCAACACCAATTATTGAACCATGGGCTCCTCAGAATAAATAGATGCAAGGTACCCCAATATTCCTCTGTAAAGACACTTTGCATTTTGAGCTTGTTTCTTTTGCTGAGTTAGTTCTTAACTTTAGCCGAAAGCCTGTTTGATCCTTGTATCAACTTCATAATCATTTTCCTGTCTATCTAATGACCACTGACAAGAAAGCAGCGAATGCCATGGGAGGCAAGACGGCTAGAGCCTGCGATGGTTGTTTGCGGAAGCGTGCACGTTGGTATTGTGCAGCAGATGACGCCTTTCTTTGCCAAGGCTGTGATACATCAGTCCACTCTGCTAATCAGTTAGCCAGCAGACATGAAAGGGCTAGGCTTGAAACTGCATCATTTTCTAAGTTCAGTGCTTCGGTTATGAACAGAACTAATCAAGATGCTCCACCAGCATGGCACCAAGGTTTCACTCGAAAGGCAAGAACACCAAGGCAAAACAAGTCCATGTTGGGGCAACAAAAAAATGAGGGAAAAGTTTTCAGTTTGAATCCGCTTGATCCTGTTGTTCCTGAGATTGGGATTGAAGACGGGTCAGTTGATGAGAACGAAGAGCAGCGGCTTTGCAGAGTTCCGGTATTGGATCCTTTTGCTGCAGAGCTATGTAATATGGTAACGAGTGATGGCGATGAAGTTGCTATGGTAAATGAAGATGGGAATTTCGTAATTGATGATTATGAACGTGAACGAACATGCGAGTTGGATGATGGATTACATGGCTTTTTACCTTCAGATATGGATCTTGCTGATTTTGCTGCTGATGTTGAGAGCTTACTAGGAGTTGGACTTGATGATGATGCTTGTTGTGACACCAAAGGAATTGACTTGCTACATAGCAAGGGAGAAGACGAAAGTAATGTTCTTCATGAACGCAAAATAGTGAAAGTTAAAGACGAAGGAGAACTGGAAGGTATAACAGCTTGTTGCTTTGATTCTGCTTTTGATGTGACAAGAGAATCCTTAAACTGGAGCTTTGATTATGAGTCACGGACGATTGGTGAGGAGGAAGAGGAGAAGGTGTTGCCTGTGACAGAGACAACAACAATGAATGGTGAAATTAAGGCGGAGATGAAGAGGAACATGCTGTTGCGGCTGAATTATGAGTCAGTCATCACTGCTTGGGCCAGCCAAGGGTCTCCTTGGACAGCAGGAAGTCGACCAGAGTTCAACCCTGATGACTTCATGGTACTATATACCTCTCCTTTTCTGTAACTTCTTAGCCTTATACACTTGCACCAGCAATTATTCATCTATAAATCTAAACTTTGATTCATGTCGCTAATCATTTACTTTCAATCCAGGGCTCAAATCTTAAAGAGGGCCATCACCTGAGCGGAGGCATAGGGGGAATATACAGCCTGCAGGGAAGAGGGAACACCGATGGAGAAAGAGAAGCAAGGGTATCAAGGTACAGAGACAAGAGAAGAACGAGGCTGTTCTCGAAGAAGATAAGGTATGAAGTGAGGAAGCTGAATGCGGAGAAAAGGCCCAGAATGAAAGGCAGGTTCGTTAAGAGGAGTTCCTTTGTGGGGACTGCTTTTCCTTATATCAATTAATAACTGTTTAAATTACTGCCAAATCTTGCGGTTTGTTTCTTTGCAAGAATTGGCAGGAGAGTTGCTTAGCCAACAGCCAGGGTGTACATATAATTGGCTAAGCTTCCAATTAGTAAATGGATTAGGGTAGTTGATCACTGTTAGACCTTCTCTAACAGTACCAAATATCTTTCTAACGCTTGAAGCTTTGATGTTAATTAACCGAAAACTCTGTAAAATAGTCAAGTTCCTGGTCTCTTTCCATCTGTCTGCCTTGGACGAATGAAGAATTTTGTTTCATTTCTCCATATATACGAGTTCAGATATGTTAAACAGCTTTATTCCTTATAAACAGGTTGGTTTCTGTGAATATTTGATTCAACTTAGTTATGCAGTAGAGGAGGAAGAACAACTTCTGCTACTTGGGTAAAATCTGTGACCAACTGACCATGATTGTTGCCTCACTTTGACAATTCAATTAATTTGATTCAACTTTAGACTGGAATTCAACAATTGAACAAAGCTTGAACTTTGCATTGGAATAAGAAAAATAAAGAAGAAATGTGGTTCTCATTTAAAAGGGTTAAATGCATTATACCCATCAACGTGAATCTAGTTCCCCCAAAAGGGCTAAGCAAATTGCTGTTAACATTGCTAAAATCTTTCCACTACAATATAACTTTGGGGTGAAACTATAATGGAATCATCATGCATGTAATTATGCATATTTGTAGAGCATAGAATTTGCCTTCTCTTTCTTTTTTTTTTTTGCCACATCTACACAGGAGGAAAGTTTATTTGTTTGTAAAGTGGGATTGGAGTGGAATTCAAATAACAAGTCCATTACTCAATTTGGTGTAAAGTGGAATTGAAGTGGAATTCTGATAACAAGTCCATATACTCAATTTGGTGGTAATATGAGGTGAAAATAAAGATTTTTTGAAGATTGCTTTCAATTCATATTCAACTGTTAGTAGGGATGGCAATGGATACCTTATTACACGATACTTATGGATACTCAATTCATATATATAGAATTAAAGATACCTATAATCGGGTTTGGGATGGATTCGACTATTGATTTCACCACTGATATCGGGTTCAGATAGGATTTGGGTACCACTCATTTGGTACACGCTAATTGAACCCGATTGTTTTTTTATAAATATTTTATTTATTATTTCAATAATTAAATTAAAATAATACAAATTTTACTAACTTTATAAGCATTTCTTTTTGTTAAAAACTATAAATATATGAAAAGATGATTATTCTAATTAGTTATCTGATGATATTAATATATTTAAATTAAAAAATTATTAAATTATTAATTATGTTTAAATAATATGAATATCATACCATATTATAAAAAAATATAATTACTATTATATATATACTTTTAAAATAAATATATTTACTTTCTATTTTGTGTTAATATTATAAAAATTATAACTTATAAAATTATTAATTATAATAAATATACCATTGTTTATATAAACTTATAATATATATATTTAAAGAAAGCTTTTGAGATTAGAATAATTTTAGAACCTAACTTCTTTTTTTTAATTTCTAGAAATTAAAGATAAATCTATATAGTTAATTAAATTAATTCATGAAACTATGATTATTAATTAACTTGTAATGTCTTTTCATATATATAGTTTATATATTGTGTTAATTTATAAGATATATAATTACTATTATAGATATACTAAAATATTTTTTGTATATATATACTTTAAATATAAACATATTTACTTGCTATTTTGTATTAACATTAAAAAAATTATAACTTATAAAACTATTAAATATAATATATATATAATATATATATATATATATACCTTTGTTTATATAAACATATAATAGATAAACTTCAAGAGAAGTTGTGAGATTAGAATAGTTTTGAAACTATTTTTTTTTTATTTCATATAATTAAAGACAAATCCAGATAGTTAATTAAATTAATTCATGAAATTATAATTATTAATTAACTTGTGATATCTTTTAATATATATGCTTTATATATGCTAGGGTCATTTATAAGGAATATAATTACTATTATATATATTAAAATACTTTTAGTATATATATATATGTACTTTAAATATAAACATATTTATTTTCTATTTTGTGTTAACATTACAAAAATTATAACTTATAAAATTATTAATTATAATATATATACCTTTGTTTATATATTATAATATATAAATCTAAAGAGAAGTTGAGAGATTAGAATAGTTATGAAACCTAGTTATTTTTTTAATTTTATATAATTAAGGACAAATTCATATAGTTAATTAAATTAATTAATGAAACTATGATTATTAATTGATTTGTAATATCTTTTAATACGTATACTTTAAATACATTGAGGTCATTTATAAGAAATATAATTACTATTATATATACTAAAATTCTTTTAGTATATGTACACTTTAAATATAAACATACTTACTTTCTATTTTGTATTAACATTACAAAAATTATAACTTATAAAATTATTACTTATGTTTGAGATAATTGTTTTTGGCTATTTAAATTTAAATTTTATTATTTGTGTGTTTTTATTCATTTACTTATTAGTAAATTATATGAAATATGTAGGAGAAATATTATTATATATGGATAGTACGGATTTGGATTCGGGTAATAGGATACCATGAATAGAATTTTAATAAATTTTTTTTCATAATCGGGTTTTTAAACGGGTTAGGGTAATTATAAAGTAGTGGGGATGTATTAGGGTTAGGGTTAGGATAGTAATTTTTAAAATATTCAGGTAATTAATAGGGTTTAGATACTTTATATTTTATAGGGTTATGATTCGGATACCTCAAAATTAACGGATACCCTATTTATTGACAACCCTAACTATTGGTATGTATTATTGTGATTGATCTTTGTCATGTAGATTATCAACATGTATTAAATTTTAATATTAACAAAATTTTATTTTGATTGAGAAAAAACCCTTTACTCAAAATTAAGTGTTTTGGCTAATTGATGAACAATTAATTAAACATGCATCCTAAAATATATTTTTTTTTAAAAAAAAAAGAAAAACCCATATAGCTAACTATTGAAGTTAATATCAACCTAAACTTAAAAAAATGTAATCAAAATTCTTAATTCTCACTCTATTCTTGTTCCATTAGTCTATTAGAAGTGCATGTCAGTGCCAAATAAACAGTAATTTTGTTTTTAATTTTGCTTATTACCATTAATTTCCATTGTTGATCAAAAAATTTTGGTATAGTTATATTATATTATTGCATGCAATAGATGAAGTATGGTATTGATCATTTGAATCCATTAGGCCTCACATTCAAATTGCTGGGAAAAGAAAAACCAAGAATTAAAGCAGCAAACCTTTAACATATAGGTTTCCTTTTTCCCTTCCCCATTTTTCTATCCACCTTTCCTTCAATTAAAAAAGAAAAACCAATTAAATATGCATTGTCAAAAGATGAAGGTGACCAATCAGCAAAATTCAAACACAAAAGCAAGAAAATCATCCTTTCCAAATTGTAGGCCATGAATATTATTGTTGGATCACATTTATCTGGTTTCAAGTTTCAAACCCTCTTCCTATTTTAATCATTCACTTGTATATGTGAGATGGACTTGTCAATTGCATAGTCTCTGGACCATATCCTCGTTTGCCAATTTCTCATTTCCTTTTTCAACCAATATATATATATATGTATATATATTTATGTTTGATGAGTTTTAATTTGGTTAGGGTAATAACCAAACGTAATGATACGTGCATATATCTTTTAAAGAACATAATTTAAATTTTTTGTCATTTAAGGTAAAATAAATCTTTTCACAAACAAGTGAGCCCTCCTTCCACATTCCTGGTGGTCCAAAAACTCTTTTTTGTCAGAAAAATTAAAATCTTAAGTCAATTTCAGTGAGAATGACATTATATAATATAAATATATAAATACATTTACATACATAGGTCCTACTAATTTTGGCATTTATATAATATGGCCTGGAGAAGGTTCAGCTCCTTGTGGAAATAATATTTCGACTTGTCAACCTCAATATTGTTTTGTCCCTTTGATTTTTTCTTTCTTTGTATTTTTGTACTTCATTTTATTTTAGTATAATACTTAAAAAAGTTCTTAAATTATTTTAAAAAATTCAAATAAACTTTTATTTTTTTGTTATGTTCAATCAAATCTTTATATTTTTATTTTGAGTCAAATAAACTCTTATAATTAATGAATAATTAATTGTCATCAATCAAAATACTCATTATCATTTTATATCCATATGGTGTTAATGTGGTACTGATGTAGAGAGTGAAAAATATAATATGATCATATCATTATATCACATCCACATACCATGTCATGTTCTATTATTACATGTTAAGATTGTAATGTTAATTCTATGTAAGCGTCACGTAATATAAAATGACAAGTAATATTTTGACAAAGTTAAACATTAGTCATAAAAGTTTATTTGATTTAAAATAAAAATATAAAAACTTAATTGAATAAAAAAAATATAAATACTTATTTAAATTTGTTTAAATAATTTAGAGATTTTTTTGGATATTATACTTTTTATTTTTTTATCATTTTTTTGCCAAAGAGGAAAAGGAAAGAAACAAGGAAGGCAATACAACTGTTCTTGCCCTCTTTTCACTTCTTTTGGACAGGGTTACCTAGCTGGGTCAGACCTTAGGCAACAAATCGTGGTTGCACCAAAGGGTTCAATTCTGCCCAGCCTTAGGCTTCTTTGGCTCCACAGCTCTCAGTGTAAATACGAGCCAGGCGATTGCAACTGTATTCATGGCAGATTTCCCAGAGCCAGCCCACATTCTTTCTGACCAGAGGTCTTGACTCGGTGAGGGAACCATCCAAATGGGGAATTTCATCTTTCCTTTTCAATGCTACATATTTTTACAAACTTAATGGAAGACACAATCATTCAATTCGCAGCAAAAGATGAACTAAACATTAACATCATATCGACTTTAGTAAACTTATTTACTAAATTCTTAATATTTTGAGAAATTATGTCAGATTTGTCACTTTTTTAATTGAAATTTTATGATTTCAGTACGTGAAATACGAAATTCTCAACTTATACAAAATATTACAAAGATTTAAAACTTAATTTATCGCATTTCAAGAATCACTCTAAATTATTAAATAATAAGAATTCACCCATTATTTAATTTTGTTAAAATTAACATTGAGTTAACTATTAATTTTGTTAAGAACATGAGTAAAAACGATACCATACAATGCTTGAAAATACATTTCTCATTAATTAGAAGCTTGAATTGAGACACAAACTTATATTTTGAAAATACCTTTTTACACTTGTGTTTTTAACTCAAAGATCATGGAATATGAAATATACGTCTCTCATAAAAATTATATTATAACGTATCAAGAGCGTAAATTCAACTCAAAGATTTCACTTGTTAATTGGTTTCAAGATTGAATCTACTATTTTTAAGAAAATGCCAAAATCGATATCATGGAGAAATTCTTGCCATGATACGATAAAATAACATATACAAAAAATAAATAATAAAAATGTCAATAAGACTAAACTTAAAGTTGTAAATTTTACATGTAATGACAAACGGAAAAAAGGAATTGCAAATGGAGAAGCGTGTTTAATTAAATTAGAGTATGACCCGTGCGTTGTTAAGATCAAATATAAGACACTCACGCATGTGGCTCATGCAGAGCTCATACCTCTACAACTTACATGAACAATTTAAGATATTTTTTTAAAAAATATTGTTTAATCTTTCTATGTACTCTTTCAAACTGAACGTGGCTAAGTGAGGGACTCCATTTAAGACTTCCTTTTTTTAAGTATGCTATAGGCATTGAGAGGTGAAATTTATTTAGTTAATAAATGAAAAAGGAGAGTAAGAAAAAGCCACGAAATACCCCAAAGGGATAATAAGGGTGAAATCATGAGCATGCATGCACCTCTTTAGAAGAGAGAATCCGAATCCAAGCACCTTGGAGAAGGACAAATGCTAAAACCTGCACAGCTCACAGCCTTACCCCTAACCCTAAGCCTTATCGTAACTCAAACAAAGTCATGTCACTCAAAAAGGCAACATCTTTTCCACTCATCTTTGCCTTTCCTTTCCTCCCTTCCAAACATGGGAAACATTTTTTTACGTCTCCCACACTTCACAAAACCCCAGGGACAGAGAAGAGACAAAACCAACACCAAAGCTTGAGGTTTCAAAACAAGAGGAAGTCCGTCCATTGAATCAACGTTGGGGAGGGAATCAAACGGCTGGGGTGTCATGTGGGGTGGTTTAGCTCAATGCTGTGGACAAAGGGTGTACCAGGGAAAACCCTTTTGGGCTTTGATAACTGTCTCGGTTGTCTTCTTGCATGAAAAAGAAGGAAAAAGGCTGAGAAATCTTTTTGTTTGCCAGTGCTGCAGCTGTGAATCTAATGAAGATAATATGGTACGGCTGAATCTCTTCAAAGATTTCATGAACCTCAGACAGCAACATAGGCTACGTGCTAGGAAAGCAAAGACCTTGCTTCTGTATTTGTTTGGATAGTTATATTGTTTTTGTTATTGAAGTGGCGAACAGCTCCATGACAGAATCATTAGTTCTTAGTTTAAAATTAAAACATTTTGCTGTAAGTGGTAAGACGGTTGTTAGGTTGGATATTCGTTTTAACGTGACATCAGTGACTTTATTCTTATTTACTGGTTCCTTCTTCAAGCTTTTCTCATGTTACTTGATAAAATTTTATTTTTATACGTGATTAAAAGTATTAAAGTGATAATAATTTTTATTAAAATGTCAATTAATTTTAAATTAAATATTTATTTAAAATTTAACGACGATGACAGTAAATATAATTTAAAATCATTTCAAGAATAAGTAGATTCATTTTTATTTACAATTTCTTTTCAGAATGTGATTGACACAAGGACAGCAATTTTGCTAAATAATTGACCAATTCCTATTGAAAAGAAAGGAGAAAAATCCACACAAAAGAGACATCAGTCATAAACCATAAACAGAACCGAAATTAAAGGGGCATGCATCAGGATGATGCATTGCTTTTGTTTAGTAAATACATATCTGATGCAGATGGAGAGGGGGTCATAGGGTAAATTTTTTTGTTTTGGACAGTTTCCAAGTGTATCTTTCGTTGAACTGTGCCTCACTTTGTGGAATAATTCCATGATCAAGACTTGTAAATAGTCTACAGATATATTAGTTTTCATATGGGATGGTTTCCCTTATAATGTGTTGCATTTTAAACTTTGATTAATTGTTAAAAATGTTGAAAAAACAATAGAATCCTCGAATGAGATGAAAAAGCTGAATGAGGACAAAAGCTCTTGGAAACCCATATGATTTAACTGGGTCTGGAAACAAAATGGGAAGATTCCCCCGAATGCATGCTCTCTGTCAAGGGCCCTTGACTTGGTATCAAACAAAAACCTTTTTGAAGGAGGGGAAGTTGTATATAAGGAAGCAGCAACAAGGAAGGAAGGACCATCTCTTTCCTTCTTCCTTGAGAGTTTTGAGGAGAAAATAAGTAGAGAGGGTGGCTAAGGAGCTCCTTTCAGTCCAATAGAGGGGGCAGAGATGTGGCTAGAGCTGCCATCTCATGCATTGGGTTATGCTTAGTGTTTTATTGGAAAGAATTTGCCAAAATTCATCACCCAAAAAAGAGAGAGAAGATTATGAATGTTGAGTTTAGCCCGATGCATGGTGTGGGAGCAACTCCTTCCACATGCTTTGCCCACCCATTGGACTGAAGGGAGCTCCTGGTTTCGTCTCCATGCACTGCACCTGTTTAGGAGAACAAATATTCTCAAAATCTTGTTTTGATCTTGTCTTCGAACTCCTCTGCCCTTTTTTTTTTCTCTACTCAATCCTGGCTGAACTTGTAACTTTTTTTCAACTCTTTTCAGGTTTTTATCCAGCTTCACAGTGACTAAAATGGAGATCAAGTGCTGTGGAAGTTGGCAGGTTGCAGCTCAGAGAGTAAACTTGACTGAGAGGATTGCCTTGACATCCAAGAACAAGCCCTCAAGATTAAGAAGTTCCCATTCTTTCCACCATCTTTAGTTGTCCTGCACTGGGCAAAACGTGCAGATGCTGCAAGCTGACCATATAGGACAGCACAGAAGTTACTTTGGTAGTCTTTGTTCTGAGCATTCCCTTCAGCTGTAAAAACTCCAGTTTAACACTGGGTATTCATTTCTTATTGTAACTTGTAAGCATTACGTATACCAAAGACGAGCCTTCTTTTTTGCTAAGGTCTTCTTCTTCCAAAGGCAACCCAGATTTTCTTAGTCCTTTTTAAATCAAAGAGACCAGGTTTCCAGATGGGAGGCAAGTCCCAAACATTAAAAACGAATTGCTAAGGAACTTATAAAGCCAAGCATTGGAAAATTAACTTGACAAGTCCTATTAGAGAAAAAAGATCTGTCATTGTAGAGGTTTTACCAAAAGACCCCGTTTCCAAAGCCATAAGGCCAATTGATATCTGCAAACCTAGTCGAACGGCATGTTGGGCAAGTAAAATAAAATAGGAGAGAGCAGCATCTCAGATTCCAAGCCATTAGATGGCATAACATGAGTTGAAGCTGCATCTGAATTTGGAGTAGGTACAACAGTTGAGAATCGAGGAGTCAAGCCCTCCAAACTCAAAATAGGCAGAAAAGACATTGTCTTTCTACTCCACATCAGCAATCAAACTGGGTATGAAAACTACGAATCCCTTACCAATAAGGTATATATTTCAAGCAGGAAATAAAAAGAAACTTATTTCATTATCTCATGTACTGTTATGGATAAACTCGCCCAAGTAATAGCATGACTAACAAGAAAGGAAAAGGAAAAAAAAAAAAAAAAGGGTTAACATGGAGAAAAGAAAAATGATAAAGAGATCATCCTGTGCTGTTCATTATATGAGTCTTTACAATGCAAACGACAATAATAACAATGTATGTAGACAGTTATTCAAATCCCTCGTTTTATGCATTCCTTCACTGGCCCAAATTCAGTCACCTGCAAGAGTGAAGCACAACATTAATTCTATTGTACCAAGGTGAATTTTGCACCCTGTTTCTAGCAAGATACATAATAAGTCATATTGACATGCATAGAGATTGATTTGAATAATTGTGAAGACAGCCTTAAGATCAGAAATACGCAAATCAGTAGTCACACCACATAAAAAGATAATGAAGACTGAATAGACCATACAAATTCAGAAAATTAAAAGGAGAGAGAAAAAAGTCTCATTCATGTTGAAATGAAAGATACTGAACCACAACCACATGAAGCTAAAACCGAAATACTATTCTTTTATTTATTTATCTATTACATGCTTTCATTTGCTCAGGAAATCTAAATACCATGTCACATCATAGGCCTCACGTTTGAGCAGTGTTGATATCAACTTTATCACAAACCTATTGATATAAACCTCCTAAATACAAATATTTAGATATCCCATCCCATCATTGCTTTATTGCATTACAAAACCACAAGGTACCAAAAACTTTCATTTTCAAAAAAATAATAAACAAACCATGAAGCAAATGGATTAGGTTAGACCTTAAATCATGAAACTATGATGGCCTAGCAGTGACCACTATGCAAGATAAATTTTTATGTAAACTCCCTTAGAAAGAAAATCTCTCGACCACACTTTCAACTTTCAAAGTATACAGCAAATCAACAACTGTCCTATGAATGCACTCAATTGATAATATGGTAAACTGTCTAAGAAATCAAGGAACAATTACTCTTGGAAGACACCTTGTCATCATGATCTTCTTTAAAACCTATAAAAGTATTTTCGAATGCATTAACTTCGTTCCATATGCCAGCCTACACGGCCTAAAACGGCCCTTTTCTCTACTTAAAAAAAATCCTTGCATTAAAGTTGGAAGCACTAAAAGCTTTTAAGATTGTGCAAAATTTTTTTAAAATTCTAGTTCTCTATTAACCAAAAGGACGGGGGAATCAAAACACAGCCCCAAAAGAAATCTGCAAAAAATGAAATGGGGTTGAAAGGGCACAACAAATATCAGTCAGGTATCCTTGCCAAGTTCTCACCCTAAAAATGAATTTAACTCTTACCATAAATCACTGAGCCTTATCATGCATAAAAAAAGAAGTTGAAACCATATATCAATGAGCATTATCATGGATGAAAGGGACAGAGTAAAAAAAGAGAGAGATCTATTTACTTATTACATTACTCAAAAGTAAAGGTCACAACAAAACCTTAAGCTCTGCTTGATTGTTATTTTTTGTATATGTTTTTTGCTTCCAAAAACAAAATGCAAAAAATACCTTGAGATACAAAAACAAAATTTTAAACTTAAAAATGTATTTTTAAAGATAACAGAATACATGATTTACTTTTATATAGAACAATTGTGTTTAGAAAAGTTTTACATCTTAGCTATTTGCTAATCTTGAGTTAAATATTATTTTACCTTTTACTAATTGTTTTCATTTTACAGCAACATTGAAGGAAACAAGTAAATAACGAAAAGCAAGTAGTCAAAATGATAATCATATCGAACTTAATTTTTACTAGCAAAAACTAAAAATTTAAGCTATAAAGAGCACCCAGTGTCTTATGTATAACAAAAGGAAAAAAAAAAAAAAAGCCTTCTGCCAGTACCCAACATTTTAGGTATTTTAGTAAATTTCTTCTGCAGCATAGTTATCTTACATACCAAATGAAGTTGATCTTAAAGGATATATTTAAAAGAAATATTCAAAATGAAAAGGAATAGCAAACAAAAACAGAAACAGATGTTTCTAACTTAGAATGCATTTTATAAACCACCCTGAATTTGGAGCTAATCATCAAGCCTCTACCAATTAGCGTGATAACAGATGCAAAAAAAAAAAAAAGGTTGATGCACCAAAGTAGATGAAAATGTACATTCAGACTTCAGCCACAAAAACGAAAAGTAAGATTTTTTTCCCATTTTCCTTCTTAGTCCTTTAGTTTATATTTCAGAAAAATCTTAGTTAATCATTCTTCGGGCTTAGAAATTTAATCCAAAAGCATGCACTCAAAAAAGGAAAGAAATATTAATCTAACAGCAATGTTAAGCAAATGTATTAGAACACATACATCAAAATTATGAAGGAGAATTTTCTAATACTTCTCCTTTCATTGTCACAAAAGGGGAGCTCTTGGAGTTTCAAACTATAGGCATATTAGCTCCAATCCGGGCACATTAACAGAAACTATCACTTCATTTTAAGTTCAAGTCTACTAAATAACACTCCAAATTAAAATAGCTACAAATTCAAAACTAACAGTTTTCACGATCACCAAAGCTCCTTCCTCATAACAACTACATTGCAACACATAAATGATATATTTTGATGCACCAACCTACACCTTTTGTGTTCAATTATATATCTTCACACACACAACAATACTATACAACTTAACTGAAATCATCGATATGAAGTTTAGGTCAAACACAATAAAATGTATTTTTTTTTTTCATCCCCAGCCCATATCTACATAATTCAAAAATGAAAGATTCTGCAACCACGTTGAAAATATGATTTTTTAATTTTAATACTGCTTCAACTCAACAATTTTCTCCAAATTGACAGATGCACAAGTCTAATTTGCATATGACACCAACTCCACCTTTTGTGGAAAAAAAAAAAAGGCATTTACTTTTCTAAGTCTAACATATCCTCTTAGAATTACTAGATACCAGTCTTAAGATCATCTTTCAATTTCATTCCTGTTCTTAATATAAAATCTAGTTTCATAATTCCCCAACATTTAAGTCATTGTAGTATTTTCTCTAACAGCCAGCCTATTAAATTTTCCATTTAAGATGGTAACTTCTATAACGACAACACTCAGTTGTAATAGTTCATTTTATCCAAACTACACCGATACATGAATTACACCCTTTTCAGTCTGTTCTTCAGGCAGATAATTTCAACTTTATGAATCTCTTTGCCTTCAATTTGCACTCTCCCATTTCTATTCTCAATTTTAGAGTAACCACATTCCTTGTAACCTAACTGAATTTTAATCAATGGAAACCTCATGAAGTCTAAAGTGCTACTTTATCTTTTCACCTTTATCTCATCAAACAACACTGCAGCATGAGAAAATGGCATGCCAAGAAAAATGCAGTATTCACCAAATAATTAAAATTGATCCAAAAATAACACATAAAGCATCACATTACACATTATATATACACCACTCTGCCAAAATTTTCTTGAATGTGAATTCCAAGTTACTCAGTGATTTGATCAAACCCACCAGACATATTTGTGCTCCTAATGCTTAAACCATACTGATTAACCCATTCCAAATGGATGCCACAGTTATTACACCCATGTGGTGTTCCACAAAGACTCCATCATAATTAGGAACTCAGTGACCTTGAAAAGTAAAAAAAGACATAGCAGGTTTCTGAGCTTACACGGTTCACTGGCCTTATAATCTTGAAAAGTAATGCTTTGTCTCCTTGCAAGATGATAAAAAGTTACTAATCATTTGGCACCCAACTGATTACACAAGTTAATTGCAGGAACCCTTTAACCCCCTAATCCACCCCAAAATAAATAATTAAATAAAACTCAGCAATTATGTTTAAGCGGCTGAACAGCTCTATAGCTGTAGTCTCCTCATGCGTAATAGCCCTCTTCATCTCTTTTGAATATTCATGCTGAAAAAGCTTATCACCAGAGCAAACTTATCAATAAATCTACAAATTATGTAGCTTTTCCACATAAAATTATGTAGCAAACTTATCAATAAATCTACAAATTATGTAGCTTTTCCACATAAAATTATGTAGCAAACTTATCAATAAATCTACAAATTATGTAGCTTTTCTTCTCAGTGCAGATCCAAAAACATACCATTGTTCCCAACTCTCACCAACAAAACCAACAAAAAAGTCAATGCAAAGAGCTAAATTTCAGTGATTTCCATGGAGTTTTTGCCATCAAATAAGCTTAAACTATTCTTTTTCTACCTTTTTCATAATCTCCTATGTTTGTCCACCATATTGACTTCCAAAAACTTTCCATAACTTCATATCACAGGCATAATTATGGCTACCTGACTCAGTTAACTTGTTTTATACTTTTTTTTAACAAATTTATTAGATTCAACCAAACAGTTCCACACACAAACAACAACAACAACAACAAGGCAGGAAATGATTTCATTGAACTAAAAAATTGTTCAGTTGATAGTTCAATGAATAATTACGGCCTGAGAATACCTTACATAAGTGAATGCAGCCTCTCATTCAGACTCAACCTCCTCAACTTTCGGACCTAAAACCCCAAATCATCAAGACAAAATTAAAACAGTTCAGCTATTTCTTCAGCAAACAACAATGTGACTAATCTGCAAACAATGCCCCATGTTTCGTTGCTTTAACTACTTGCTTTGCTTTTTGCTTCCTCAAAAATGCCAAAAAGTAAAAGAAACGATTTCTATTCGATTAAAAACTAATGAACTAGTTAAATCATAACCCATTACCAATTGTAAAATCATACGTTCACTTACTCAAAAAAAATTTCATCTTTTTCAAATTCCAGATTTCCTTCCAAGACGCAAAAAGCAAGCAATAAAAGTAACAACCAAAGGAGCTTAAAGGAAAAAGTTGATATAAAAAAAAAGGATTAAGACCGTGGAGGGAGGGGTGGCGGCCTTCCTTGCCCCAACCGATGCCGCGGGTGGCGTCGAGGTACTGGCGAACGAGGTGGCGGCACTTCTGGAGATGGTTGACTCCTTCGATGCGGTAACACCACCTCACCTTGTCTCGGAGGATCTTCGCCTTCTCTATGTCGATCCATTTCTCTCGAACTATATGCTCCCTCATTTCCAGCATCGCCACCGGGTCCTTGTAGGGATTGGCCGGGTCGAAGTCATCCGGTGCCGTTTCATCGAACTCTGCGACTCCCTTCTTCCTCCCCATTTTCCACTCTGTATCTCTCTTTTCCTCACTCTGCTCTTCTTCGCCCTCTAGTCCGCTTTAGTCGTGTGGCGATTTTGGGTTTTCGAAGTTGGGTCTTGTGTTTTGGGCTTTCTGGACTTTTGTTTTGTTGTCCATCGGCCTAAATCCGATTTTGATTTAGTTTGAGGCTGGAGATAAGAAATCCAATTTTGTTTTTAGCAAGAACTAAAAATAGTACATGTATCAATGGAAATGAAATTCCTATAACATTACTTAATAAATTTGAAACGCAATCTCTAAGAAGATCTCTCTCAGAAATGTCATAGCAATAGGATATTGAAAATCATTGTTCATAAGAAAATGGACTAAATGATTGGATTCGTGATATATATGAATAATACGAACTTGTCATTCCTTCTTTAAGAGATTTTTATTAACCAAAGTCAAATTTGAATAAACATTTGATTCATTTGTTTACATTTAAATCACTTGTATAGCAGTTTTGTTGTTCATAGTTAAGATCACCTTACGACACCCCTTTTCTCATATAAGGATAGCAATTCGTGATCGCATGTTTAATCGTGTCGTATCAATATAAGGTATTAACGATTATTTAAGTAAACACGAACATGATACGAATAATTATTCATGTTAAAATTTTAAACATGTATACAGATACGATTATTAACTATATAACATAATACAACACGACTAACATATTTGTTAATCGTGTTAGAATTTTTTTCTAGACACAACATGATAGTAAATATGAATAACGATTAACACATTTTACATATTTACACAATTAAATTATAAGATTAAATTACAAGTATTTAATTTTATCATTCAAATTTAAATCAATAATTATAAAAATAATTATAACCAAATAATAATAACATCAAATATAACAAAATTTAGCATAAATAACAAACATTAACATCTAACCTTAAAATACTAATAATATCTAAAATCATCTATTATTTTTAATCATAATTAAATACATATCAACCATAAACAATTCTGAACACCAAACCATGAACAATTCCTAAAGCTAAACCAAAATCAAAAAATTACTTGCCAATGTCACATCATTTTGGTGTCCCAGAACCTAATGATGAAATGGAAACGATATATTAATAAATTAGATCAAAACAAAAAAATTAAATAATATTTTAAATTCAGTTTAAAGCATTATCTTTTAGTGTTAATCTTTGACATCAAGCGCAAAGCATTCTGCTATGCTATTTCTTCTTTGCTAATATATAAAGTCATGACAACTATGGTAAGATTATTCAACTCTGTTTCTATAGATTTTGCAATATAAAAAATGTTTATTAGAAAAATGTAAATAAATCAAACTTATTCCAATTATGCATTTAAACACAATAAACATAACCAAAAACAAAATGAAAGAATGAGAATGTATTACCAATTTTCGTAAATAGTCAATCTTTAGAACATAAATTTCATTTGGAACATCTAGCTTGTTAATGTAAAAGTCTCAAGGAGTAAAATACCAAGAGGGGGTGAATTGGTATTTAAAATTTTTTTTTGCAAAACTAAATATAAAACAAAACCTTTTTCACTCAAAAATATATTTGAGTATCAAAAACAAGTTTTCAATAATAAATCACAAAGCATAAAAATAATATAGTAAAATAAGATATTTTCTTAAGTTAAATAACAATTATGAATGACAAAGTGAAAATATTTTCCTAAGTTTAAAACAATAAATCAATACAAAACTATTTTACTAAGGCAAATGCAAGCCATGAATAATAATGCGGAAAATTAAAAAGAGATACAAAGATGTTATGGTTCAGTTTTTTTTATACTTATATTCATTCCTTTGGTAATCTAGGAATTTTCAATCCGCTAAAAGGATCTTTGCTTTTTAATAAAATCAAACGATAATCCCTACACCGACTTTTTACGGGATCAAGTGATAACTCTTATACAATCCATAAAGAGATTTTTGCTTTTCAATGGGATCAAGCGATAATCCACAAACAATAATTTTTACAGGATCAACCACAAATCCTTACAAATAACTTTTCAAAGTTAAGTTAGAACTTTTATAATGGGATACAAATTTCAATAAGAAAATGATTCTACAAAGGCTAGGTGCTAAGACTTTAAGCTTGAGTGTAGTGAGTGAAGAAATATTAGCTCAATGAAGTAAGTATTCAACTTTTGCAAGCTGGGTGAAAGACTAAAATAAAGCTAGAGAATGAAGATAAGCTTTTGGAGATTTCTCTAGGGTTTGAAGCGCCGGTTCAAGTCTTCTTTTATTTCTAAATAACTCAAATGCTACTATTTATAACTAGTGTGAAGTTTGAAGTCGTTAGACACAAATTGAATATATCTTATCATTGATGAAGCTTAAAGGTCGACTACAACACTCCTAAGGTCGATTATGTTCTTCAATTTTATCAAATTAAGGCTCCATAGTTGAGTATAACCTTCTTATACTCAATCCAACTCACGAAAGTGTATTTTTGCAAATCTGAATTGGTATTGTCAACTATGCCTCCTCTATAGTCGATTATGTCTTTGCAAAGTCAACTGTTTCATGCTTTTAACTTGTCAAGTTTGATTATACTTGAGACAAGGTCGACTATGTTTGTTCAAAACTTTATTTTCTTGAGCTTTTTGAAACAGGGTCAACTATAGACACTCCAAGGTTGACTATGGCTTTATTTTCTTCAAGTTTTGCACTCTTTTTGCCTTTGAATGGGCTCGAGCTTTTCTAGGATCGACTCTTAACTTGTGTCTTGAGGTTTCCTTAGCTTTTTGACCTTTTTCCTCAGTTATTTTTTCCTTGCCCTGTTCCTACATTCAAATAAGATTTTAAGGCATGTTTGTTTTTATTTTCTTAGCTAAATATGCATTATTTGAAAGCTTATAAGATGTTTTCTAATAATGCATGAATTTTCAAACAATTATGCAATCTTAGGAGATTAAAAATATATTTAAGACAATGTCAAATGCTTGACATTAAGTTTAAGATAACATATGATTTTTGTTAAATCAAAACATGATGTAACTTAAGGCTAACATGGTTTAAGCAAGCTTCGATATTGATCAAGAACTCTATCATCAACGTTAAAAGCAGACTCAAAAGCCACTGTGGATACAAGAATGGCCAAGATATCACAAGCCATGGTAGCAACCTTAGGATAATGAAACTAATTTGTTTTCAATATTGTAAAATATCTAATTCTATTGTTGCATCAATCTTTGTTCATCCAAATATTGCTCTAGTTGAGATTTGTTGTTGGCAGCTCCAAACTCACGTTGAAAATTCTCAAACTCCTTAATAAAAACAAAACAATTAAAAAAATTCAAATAAAATATAGCAAAAAATAATAAATTTTAATAACAAATAATACTAAAAAACTGAAAAAAAATTACTTTTATGAACTCTGTTTTCCCATTTGCAACTTTCCCCCAAAAGGTAAGTAATAAAAAGTGTGATTTAAAGATGATATTAGTGTATCAGAACCTTGGCAGCATATTCATTATAAAAATCAAATAAATAATCTTAACCTTTTTAAATTTAGCTGAATTTCTATCATAAAGCTTCGTGTAACTCTATTTCACAAATCGAATCTTGTATCAAAGATCAAATATTGCAACTATTACTAAAATCATACTAAATTCAGACCAATACTTGTTAAACTTACAAAACATTTGCGTAAACATATTTTTTAGATACACATCATCCCCACTCATATGTTTTTGAAAGGTTATGTGTGCCATGAATACTGAAGGAAAATACAAGTAGGCTGTAGGATACTTTGTTCCAAAAAAACACACAAGTAATCTCACAAAAAGCACTCAAGAACTTGTTAAGTTTGTCAATTCTATCTCACATCTCTAGATGGATAAGTCTTAAAATTTGACTCACTAATTTTAAAATGAGAAAAAGCCAAGCGAAAATAAAGTGCACCTTCAAGTATGAGAAATGTGGAGTTCCACCTAGTTGAAATATCTTATTTACGCGTCTTTTTGCATTCAAATGCATTGTGTTTATGCACTCTAGAAACTTTTATTTTTTCCTTTAAGAACCTTTCATATACTTAATACTTTTCCTCACTTTTTTGACAACACTATCAACTTCTTTCAAACCATCTTGTACAATTAAATTAACAATATGAGCACAATATTTTATATGAAAAAACTTACCACTTCATAAAAATGGCTTTACCATATTCGAATACACTTTCAACTTTTCAACAAAACTATCATTTGCAGAAGCATTATCAAACGTCATTGAAAATTATTTACTTTCAATTTCCATTCAACTAACAGTGCAAGAACCTTTTCACTCAAAGCAACACCATTGTGTGGAGGTGGCATAAAGGAAAAACTCAAGCTTTTAATTTTGTAAAACCTAATTTTTGTCAACAAAATAAGCAGTAAGACATATATTCCCATTAATAGTGACAAAAGTCCACAAATCAAAAGTCAAACAAATCTTACCAAGTGTTTCATGAAGTAATCTTTTTATCTTACATCCTTCTCTTTTATGCATCTTAATTATATTAGTTTTGATAGTAATTTTAGAAAACAAAACAACATCTTCTTGCAAATAAGTCAACATAGTCCTATTGCTAACATACTCGATAAATAATAAAGGCAAATTATGCATCACAATTGCAGCTACTATTAATTCACAAAACTTTTCTGGATCAAACTTTGAATTCCTCATTAACATTGAACCATGCTTTTTAGAAAAAATCATCTAGCCTATATCACATGTGTCTCTCTTAACACATTTTTCATTATGACGTTTCATATTACTTGTCCCATCCTTGCTTTCACAATTCAAAACATAACCACAGAGTTTGCACTTTGCTTGTAGTTTTCCATCAATTAAGTTTTTTTCGACAAACGTACAAAAAAGGTCTAAACTTCTAAAATTAACCACTTTTTTAATTTTTCATAGCTTTTCTCCATCAATCTATTATATCTCAACCTCATTTATCTCTACACAATTATTAGTAGTTTTCTTCACAAAATAAACATTCGATTCAAGAAAAATATCGATATTGCCAAATTCCATTTGCAAA